ACAACCCAGTGTATAGGGGCGCCCCCATGGGCACCCCTATGAGCTTCTCATCCCCTCAGCACCCTACCCCTATGAACACCCCCCTTCACGTGGATACCCCACCCCTGTGGGTACTCCCGTGGGGCAGCTACACCCCTACACAGGCTCTAGTCACAGGGCACCCCCAGACCAACAAATGACCCCCCATCCCTGGGACTTTGCCCCCTCCATCACCCATGGGTGACCCTCAGCACCCTTCTGTGGGTGCCCTGCCCCGCTGCTGGGTGCCAGTGTCCCCCAGCAGCACCCTGAGGTGGTGGTGTCCCCGCAGGGCCCCATGTCCGTGGTGGTCACCTACGGAGGAGACCCCATTCCCAAGAGCCCCTTCCCTGTCACCGTGGCCCCCCCCTTGCAGCTGGGCAAGGTCAAGGTGCAGGGGCTCAACAGCAGTGAGTGGGGGCACCGGGGGGGGGCACTGGGGAGGGCACTGGTGGGGGGAGAGCTCTGGATGTGGGGTACAGTGTGGGAAGGGGCCCTGGATATGGGGAGCACTCTGATGGGGGGCCCACCCTTGGCTGTGGGGTTCATCATGGGGTTGGGGCACACGACAGCAGGGGCATTGGGGATGGAGGGCAGCATGTGGCAGAGGACCCCCTGTGGGTGGAGGGCACCCTGGATATGGGGGACACCCGTGGGTGGGGGGCATGGCAGGGGGGGTGACACACCCTGTAGGTGGCACAACACCCTGGACGTGATGGGAAACACTCTTGGGTAGGGGTGGGTCTGGGGGACACCCTGGGTCTGGGGGACATATCTGGGTGTGGGGTTCGCCATGGAGGATCTGGGGGCACCCCAGGGGCATGTGTGTGACCCCCCCCCTGAGCGCAGGGTGCCCCCCTGACCCCCATTCCCCCACAGAGGCGGAGGTGGGACAGGTGCAGGAGTTCCAGGTGGAGTCTCAGGGTGCGGGGGGCCAGGGGCACCTGGAGGTGAAGGTGACAGGCCCCTCGCGCCGCCCCGTGCCCTGCACGGTGGCGCCTGCGCCCCCCGGGGGCCCCCACCCCGTCAGCTTCACCCCCTCCGAGGAGGGGCCCCACCGCGTTGAGATCACCTACGATGGGCACCCAGTGCCGGGCAGCCCCTTCCCCGTGGAGGCACTGCTGCCCCCCGACCCCTCCAAGGTGAGCTGGCACACCTGTGTGCCCCCCGTGACCCCTGCATGTCCTCCCTGAACCCCACGTGTCCCTCTGCCTGTAGCGGTGCCTCTGGCACCCCGCGTGTCCTTGTGTCCCCCCTGATGCCCGCACGTCTCTGTCCCTCCTGACCCCCCCTCCCCGTGTCCTTGTGCCCACAGGTGGTGGCCTCGGGGCCGGGGCTGCAGGGCGGCCGTGTGGGGGTCCCGGCGCCCTTCTCCATCGCCACGCAGGGCGCTGGCAGCGGGGGGCTGGGGCTGACGGTGGAGGGGCCTTGCGAGGCCAAGATCGAGTGCCAGGACAACGGGGACGGCTCCTGCGCCGTGTCCTACCTGCCCACGGTGCCCGGCGAGTACCACATCAACATCCTCTTCGCCGGGCGCCACATCCCGGGCAGCCCCTTCACGGCCGCGGTCACGGCGCCCTTCGACCCGGCCAAGGTGACGGCGTCGGGGCCGGGGCTGGAGCGCGGCCGCGCGGGCGAGGCGGCCGCTTTCTCCGTGGACTGCTCGCAGGCCGGCGAGGCCGAGCTCACCATCGAGATCCGCTCCGAGGCTGGCGCCAAGGCCGAGGTGCTGGTGCAGAACAACCGCGACGGCACCTACGCCATCACCTACACCCCGGCCTGCGCCGGTGCCTACACCATCACCATCAACTACGGCGGCCTCCCGGTCCCCAACTGCCCCGTGCGCGTCACTGTCGACCCGGCCGTCGACACCAGCAGCGTCAAGGTCTACGGCAAAGGCGTGGAGCCGCGAGGTGAGGGGGCGGCCACGCAGGGGCTGCTCACCACGGGCACCTCCCTTCCCACAGGGATCTCCTCCCCATCCATGTGGGCACCTCCTCCCCATGGGGACTTTCTCCCCCAAGAGCGTTCCATCCCTTTGGGCACGTCTTCCCTATGGATATCACCACGGGAATCTCCCCTCCATGGGCATCTCCATGGACACCCCATCCCTGTGGGTGTCCTTTCTCCATGGATGCACCCACTCACGGGCATCCCAACCCCATGGTCTCCTTGTCCCTGTGAGCACCCCATGGGTATCCCATCTCTTGGGGGTGGGCTGTTTGCACCCCACGGACCTCTCCTCCTTGCATGGAAAACCCCATGGCCACGAACATCCCCATGGGCACCGACATCTCCTCCTGATTGAGCACCCCATGGACACCCCCTCCCCACGGGCACCCTCTCTCATGGAGGGTCTCCTGGGCACCCCACAGGCACCTCCTCCCCTGTGCCCCCAACCCTAACCCCACCACTGTTCAGGGGTCTCCGTGGCTTCCCCCACTCAGCTCTCCCATGGGGGGATGGCGGACTCTGGGGTTTCACAGAGTGCGAGATGGGGCCGTGGGGGTGTGCCAGGACACCCCTGAACCCCCTGTGTGTGCTGAGAGGGCCATGGGTATTGGGGGGGCGCAGGGAGGGACCCCCAGGTGAGCTCCGGGCCCCCCCTGACTCTCCTGTGCCCCCCAGGGGTGCTGCGGGAGGTGGGCACTGAGTTCACGGTGGACGCGCGGGCTCTGGCCCCCGCGGGGGGGCCCCACGTCCGGGCGCGGGTGCTGAACCCCTCGGGGACCCCCATCGACACCTTCGTCACCGACCTCGGCGATGGCACCTACCGCGTGGAGTACACACCCTTCGAGGAAGGTGAGGGACCCCCACAGCCCCCCAGGAACCCCAGCACCCCCTGGAAACCCCCGGGAACCCTGAGCCCCCCGACAGGGACTCTCTCTGCACCCCCCCCAGGACACCAACACCCCCATGGGACCCCAAGTCCTGGCCAGGCATCCTCTGTCCCGCATTGGGGGACCCCTAGAGAGGGACCTTCCCAAACCACATCCAAATGTGGAACCCCCTCAATTCCCCCTGAACCCCCAGAACCACGGACCCGCAAACCACCTGAGACAGCCCCGAACTACACTCAGGGACCCCCAACCACCCCCCCAAAACCTCATTCAAGAACCCCCAAACCTCCTGAGACCCTCCCCTCCAAGAGATTCTTAAAGTCCCTGAGACCCTCCAAACCCCCACCCAGGGACCCCAAATTCCCTGAAATCCCCACAAAACCGCTTAAGAACCACCTCCAACCCACCAAGAGATCCCCAACCTCCACCAGAGCCCCACCCAGGGATCCTCAAATCCCCTGAGAGCCCCCAGCCCCTCTCCAAGAAACCCCCTCGCTATGGGCAGTGTGTGACTGTCCCTGTCCCAGGGCTGCACCGGGTGGAGGTGACATACGACGATGTGGCGGTCCCGAAGAGCCCCTTCCGCGTGGGGGTGACCGAGGGCTGTGACCCCACGCGCGTGCGGGCACACGGTCCCGGCCTGGAGGGCGGCCTGGTGGGCACAGCCAACCACTTCACCGTGGAGACCAGGTGGGCACTGACCCCTGAGCCCCTCAGCTCCCACCCTGCCACCACCCCACACCCACAGGCCTCCCCCCAGAGGTGTCACCTCGGTCCCAGGCCACCAACCCACCATCTCCATCCCCTGCCAAGGAGGTGTCACCTCTGTCCCATATCACCAAAGGCATCTCTGTCCCCTTGACACGGAGGTGCCACCTCCATCCCTTGTCACCAACCAGGCATCCCCTCTGCCATCGGTGTGCCACCTCCATCTCCCTGCCACCAGCATGGCCCCCCCACCTCACTGCCTCACTGCTGGTGGCACCTCCCTCCCCTTGCCATGGAGCTGGCACCTCCATCTCTCTGCCACTGTGTCACCTCCACCTCCCCACCACGGCTGTTCTCCCCCATGGTCCCACCGTGCCCGTGTCACCCTCCCTGAGCGGTGGTTTTCCCCCAGGGGTGCGGGCACCGGGGGGCTGGGTCTGGCCATCGAGGGTCCCTCGGAGGCCAAGATGTCCTGCAAGGACAACAAGGACGGGAGTTGTGCGGTGGAGTACGTCCCCTTCACGCCCGGCGACTACGACGTCAACATCACCTTCGGCGGCCACCCCATCCCCGGTGGGTGGGGACATGGGAATGGGTGGGTGGGAGAGGGGTCCTGGTGGGTGTAAATTGGCTGTGGTGACACCATGGTGGCCCCGTGCCCGAGCTATCCCCTGCCTGTGCTGTCCCCATGGGTGTGGCCCTTTGATATCCCGCAATGACCCTATAGCCACACTGTGCCTGTGCCCGTGTCCATGCCAGGCCCACGCTGATCCCATGGGCATGCACTCACTGCGCCCACGGTGACCCCATGGCCACGCTGACCCTCTGGTTGTGCTGTCCCTATGCCCATTTTGAACCCGTGGCCATGTGGACCCTACATATGTGTTGGCCCCATGGGCGTGTCACCCCCATGAACACATTGGCCCCACGCTGTGCCCATGCCCATGATGAACACACTGACCCTACAACCTGTGCTGACCCTATCGATATGTTGACTCCAGGGCCACCCTGACCTCACCCTCATGCTGACCCCATCCCCACGCTGACCCCATGCCCGCATTGGCCCAATGGCCATGCCACTCCTGTCCCCGCCCTGCCCCACCCCACAGTGCCCACTCCACGCACTGACACCCTCTCCCCGTGCAGGGAGCCCGTTCCGGGTGCGGGTGCGGGATGCCGTGGATCCCTCGAAGGTGACGTGCTCGGGGCCGGGGCTGGGCCCCACCGTCCGTGCGCGGCTGCCCCAGACCTTCACCGTGGATGTCAGCGCCGCGGGGCGTGCGGCCCTCGAGGTGACACTGCTGGGGCCTGCCGGTACGTGGGGACATGGGGGGGTGGAGGCCTTGTCTTGTGGGGTGTCCTAACCACACCCAGTGGATCCCATAGTCCATAGGGTGTCTTTGGGATGTCCTGACCCATAGATGTCCTGCGTTGTGGCTTGTCCAACCCCATGGATGCCATGTGTCCATAGGGTGTCCTGCCCTGTGGTGTGCCCTGTTCTATAGGGTGTCCTACCCATGGGCATCCTGCTCCACGGGATGTCCAGCCCCATGCTTCCCCTCCTCCCTAGGGTCTCCTGCCTCATGGAGTTCCCTGCTCAGGGATGTCCTGCCCCATATGCTGCTCTATGCCCTCCATGTTCCCCCGCCCATATGTCCCCCCCTTCCTCACATATCACCACCCCACACGTTCTGCTGCCCCACAGGGCTACCAGAGCCACTGGAGGTCCGAGACAATGGTGATGGCACCCATAAGGTCACCTACACCCCGGCCACCGACGGGCCCTACACCGTGGCCGTCAAGTACGGAGGGCAGGAGGTGCCACGCAGGTGAGACCTCACCCGGGGGGGTGGGGACACAGGACCCCCACAGAGCCTGGGGGTCCCTGCTCCCCCCCTTACCCTCTACCCCCCCACAGCCCCTTCAAGGTGACAGCACTGCCAGCCCACGATGCCAGCAAGGTGCGGGCGAGCGGCCCCGGGCTGAGCGCGGGGGGCATCCCCGCCAGCCTGCCCGTTGAGTTCACCATCGACGCCCGCGACGCTGGCGAGGGGCTCCTCACCGTGCAGATCCTGGTCAGTGCAGGGGGGGGAACACGGGGGGATGTGGGGAACAGGCAAGGGCTGCTCACGGTGCAGATCCTGCTCAGTGCCAGGGGGATACATGGGGTGCCCTTTCCCCCACGTACCGGGGTGCTGAGCATATGGCACTGATGGGGGTTACCCGCAGGACCCCGAGGGGCAGCCCAAGAAGGCATCGATCCGGGACAATGGGGACGGCACCTACACGGTGTCCTACGTGCCCGACGTGCCGGGGCGCTACACCAGCACCGTCAAGTACGGGGGGGATGAGATCCCCGCCTCGCCCTTCCGCGTCCTCGCTGTGCCCGCCGGCGATGCCAGCAAGTGCCTCGTCACAGGTGGGGCTGCCCCACAGTGTCCTCGTGCTGATCGATGCCATCCCTCGCTGACCCACAGCATCCCCTCACTGACCCACGGCATCCCCTCACTGACCCACGGCATCTCCTCACTGACCCACAGCGTCCCCTCACTGACCCACGGTGTCCCCTCACTGACCCACGGTGTCCCCTCGCTGCCCCATGGCATCCCCTCACTGCCCTGTGGTGTCCTTTCGCTGGCCCACCGCATCCCTTGCTGACCCACCGTTGTCCCCGTGCTGCCCCATGGCACCCCTCCTACCTCACGGCATCCACGTGCTGACCCACAGTGTCCCCTTGCTGCCCCACAGCACCCATCCTACCCCAGACACCCCTGCCTTGCCCCTGGCACCCCACTACTGCCTCCCCAGCACCCCCATCTGCCCCACTGCTGCCTCACAGCACCTCCCCACTGCCCCCCAGCACCTCCACCTGCCCCACCGCTGCCCTCGTCACCCTCCCACTGCCCCCCAGCACCCCCACCTGCCCCACTGCTGTCCCCAGCACCCCCCAGAGCCCCCTAGCCCTGCCCCATGGCGCAGTGGGGATGAGCGGGTGCCCCCAGGACAGGACGTGCCGGCCCCCCCGGAAGCCCCCGGCCCCCATCGGCCCCCCCGGCCCCCCCCAAGTAGCCCCCCAACCCCTTCTCACCGCTCTCCCTGGTCTCTCTTGCAGTATCCATTGGGGGCCATGGACTGGGTAAGTGGCGCCGGGGGGGCAAGTTGGGGGGCTGAGGGGGGGCAGTTGGGGAGGGGGTAGGTTTGGGGTCCCCCCACGGCCCTGACCCTGCCCATCCCCGCAGGTGCCTGCCTGGGCCCCACCATCCAGATTGGGGAGGAGACGGTGATCACGGTGGACGCAAAGGCGGCGGGACAGGGCAAGGTCACCTGCAAGGTGTCGACTCCCGACGGCGCTGAGCTGGACGTGGACGTGGTGGAGAACCACGACGGCACCTTCGACATCTTCTACACCGCGCCCGAGCCTGGCAAATACGTCATCACCATCCGCTTCGGCGGGGAGCACGTCCCCAACAGCCCCTTTCACGTCCTGGTGGGTTGGGGACTGGGCAGGGGGGGTGTTTCTGGGAGTCTGGGGGGTTGGGGTAGGCACCACATGGGGCAGAGTTTGGGAGATCTCTGGCATGGAGCAGGGAGAACCACCGTGGGTGCCATGGGGTTGGGAGACCGTGGTGGATCCAAGGGGCAGGGTTGAAGGCACAATGGGCACCATGGGACAGAGATTTTGGAGACCAGGGTGACACCGTGGAGCAGGGAGACTGTGGTGGGGTTGAACATCGTGGTGGGCACCAAGGGACAGAGAGTTGGCCAGTGAGGAGAAACAAGAGCACAATGGGCACCGCAGGGTTGGGTAACCATGATGGGAGTCGTGGAATTGTGAGACCCTGGTGGGCACCCTGGGGCAGTGACAGGACCATGGTGGCCATCATGGAGCTAAGAGAGTTGGAAGACCATGCTGGGTTAGGGTTAGGGTTAGACCGTGGTCTAACCATGGGGTTGGGTGACCATGGTGAGTGACATTGGGCCAGGGTCATGGTGGGCACTGTGGGATTTGGAGGCTGTGAGGGTCACTTTGGGGCTGGGAGCCCACCATGGGGTTCTCACCCTCCTCTCTGCCATACAATCAGGCCACGGATGAGCCCCCGGCCACCGCCGAGAACCTCCGGCCCTTCAACCTCGTCATCCCCTTCACGGTGCAGAAGGGTGAGATCACAGGTACGGGGTGGGGCTGGGGGGAAAGGGAGCACCCTGTGAGGCACCAGCCCCCCTTGGTGCCTCTGCTGACAAAATATCCCCCCAGGCGAGGTGCGGATGCCCTCGGGGAAGACGGCGCGGCCCAGCATCACCGACAACAAGGACGGGACGGTGACGGTGCACTACGCCCCCTCCGAGAAGGGGCTGCACGAGATGGACATCCGCTACGACGGCAACCACATCCCCGGTGAGCCACTGAGGGGCACTGGGAGGTGGCTGAGGAAGGTCGATGTCACCGTGCCCTGATTGGTGTCGAGGTGTCCTTGCTGGGTCCCTGGTTGGACACCCATGAGTTGAGTGCCCACCAAGGTGTGGCATGTCCCTCTGGGGTGTCCCTTTGGCGTCCCTGGTTGGTCACCCCTTGGGTTGGGGTGTCCGTGTCCCCATGGGGCCCCTGACTGTCGTTGTCCGTGTCCCCAGGGAGTCCCCTCCAGTTCTACGTGGACGCCATCAACCCACGCCACGTCAGTGCCTACGGGCCGGGGCTGAGCCACGGCATGGTCAACAAGCCCTGCACCTTCACCATCGTCACCAAGGATGCCGGCGAGGGTGAGTGGTGGCCAAGGGGGGGCTGAGACGGTCATGGGGACCCCCCAGTGCCACCAGGGTAGAGCTGGAGACCCCTGGTGCCTCCTGACACGTCCTGACGCCTTCCATACCCCCAGGTGGGCTGTCGCTGGCAGTGGAAGGTCCCTCCAAGGCAGAGATCACCTGTCAGGACAACAAGGACGGGACGTGCACCGTGTCCTACCTGCCCACAGCTCCTGGTGACTACAGCATCATCGTGCGCTTCGACGACAAACACATCCCGGGCAGCCCCTTCACCGCCAAGATCACTGGTGCGATGGGGGGGGACAGCAGGGGCTTGGGGGTCCTGGGGGTCCTTGGGGTCTCCACATGGCCATGGGGACTATGGCATTGTCATGGGGACACTTGTGGGGTCACGGGGACACCTTCCCTATGGCCACTGGGACCCCATCAAACAGCTGTGATGTCCCTTTGGGACCTTTGGGACCCCACCCTTCCTGCCTCCCACCTGGAGCTGATGTCCCCTCTGACGTCACCTCTGCAGGGGACGATTCCATGCGCACGTCCCAGCTCAACGTGGGCACCTCGACCGACGTGTCGCTGAAGATCGCAGAGACCGACCTGAGCCTGCTGGCGGCCACCATCCGCGCACCCTCGGGCAACGAGGAGCCCTGCCTGCTCAAGAGGCTGCCCAACCGCCACATCGGTGCGTGGGGACACTGTAGGGACACTGTAGGGACACAGGGACATGGGCACAGGAGAACTGGGACGGGGGCTCATGAGAGGGGGCTGTGAAATCACAGGGATGGGTGGCCCCATGGCATTGGGTCACCAGGGATTGGTGGCCATGGTCAGGAGATGTGGGTGGTCATGAGGGACTGATGGACACAGTTATGGTGACCACGGGTTGGTAGAATTGCCCAGAGGTTGGTGGTGGTGGCCAAGGGCTGGAGGAGATGGGTGTCTGGCCAGGGGCTGGTGGTTATGGTCACTGGTTGGTGATGGCCAGGGCTGGTGGCGGTGGCTGTGGGTTGATGGCAGGGTGTGACCGCGGTGTCCCCCCGCAGGCATCTCCTTCACGCCCAAGGAGGTGGGCGAGCACGTGGTGAGCGTGCGGAAGAGCGGGCAGCACGTCACCAACAGCCCCTTCAAGATCCTGGTGGGGCAGTCGGAGATCGGCGATGCCGGCCGGGTCAAGGTGTGGGGCCAGGGGCTGCTGGAGGGCCACACCTTCGAGGTGGCTGAGTTCATCGTGGACACGCGCAGCGCTGGTGAGGCTGGGGGGAGAGTTGGCCATGGCCAGGGCCAGGGTGGGGTGGTGGCTGTGGTTATGGCCAAGGCAGGATGGTCGCTGGGGCTTGGGTTGGATGGTGGCTGTGGTGGTGGTGTGGCCGTAGCCAGGATGATTTGAGGGCCAAGGCCATGCCACAGCTGCAGCCAGCAGGATGGGGTGGTGACCACAGTGGTGGCATAGCCATCACCCAGGTGGGAGGTGGCTAAGGCCATGCCACAGGTATGGCCAGCACAGAACGGGGTGGTGGTCATGGTTATGGCTGTGGTGTGACCGTGGCCAGGATGGGATGGTGGCTTTGATGGCTGGGTTGGCATGATGTCCATGGTGTGGCCACGTCCAGGACGGGGAGAGCTGCCATGGGACACCTCTGAGTGTGTCCCTCTGGTCGCTCAGGCTATGGTGGGCTAGGCCTGTCCATTGAGGGCCCCAGCAAGGTGGACATCAACTGTGAGGATGTGGAGGACGGCACCTGCAAGGTCACCTACTGCCCCACCGAGCCCGGCAACTACATCATCAACATCAAGTTTGCTGACAAACATGTCCCAGGTGGGACCAGGGGGACAGGGAGGGGGCACAGGAGTGCGGTGCAGGGTGCTGGGACCCCGGGGGGGTGACAGCTCCCTGAGGTGACCTTCTCCTGCAGGGAGCCCCTTCACAGTGAAGGTGACGGGTGAGGGCCGGATTAAGGAGAGCATCACACGCCGGCGGCAGGCACCTTCCATCGCCACCGTTGGTAGCACCTGTGACCTCAACCTCAAAATCCCAGGTAGTGTTGTCCTTCCTTTTCCTCCTCCTCCTCTTCTCCCTCATCTTCCCTCATCCTCCTCTTCCGTGGGCTGAGATGCCTCTCAGCCATTCCAGCTCTGACTTCTCCCTCTTTCTTCCTTCTCTCCCCTCTGTGTGCCTGTGTCCGTGTCCTTCCGTGCATCTGCACCTCTGTTTGTGCTTCCCTCTGGTTGCGCCACCACCCACCGGTACCTCCATCCACACCCCCGTCCGTGCGTACATCCCTGGCTTCATCCACCTGTGGCTTCATACATCCCTACATCCATCCCCGTTTCCATCTCTCCCTGCACCAACCCTCACTTCCATCCCTGTGACCACCCCATGTCTCCACCCATCACGATTCCATCATCCCTGTCTCCACGTCCATCCTTGTCTCCACCCCCGTGACCACGACTGTCTCCACCTGTTCGCATCTCCACCAATCCCTGCATCCGTCCCTGCATCCATCCAACCCTGTCTCTGTCCACTTCCCCCCGTGTCCCCACCACTCCTCTGTGCGCCCCTTCTGTTCTCCCTCCCCGTGCCCACGTCCTGTGGCTCCCCCCTATGTCCCCGTGGTCCCCGTGTGTCCCCGCTGTCCGCCCGTGTCCCCGCGGGGCGCTCCCCAGGGAACTGGTTCCAGATGGTGTCGGCGCAGGAGCGGCTGACGCGCACGTTCACGCGCAGCAGCCACACCTACACGCGCACGGAGCGCACCGAGATCAGCAAGACGCGCGGCGGGGAGACCACGCGCGAGGTGCACGTGGAGGAGTCGACCCGCGTGGGCGGCGCCTTCCCCCGAGCCCCTCCGGAGCCCTTCGGCACCTTCGGGGCCTTCGGGCCCCGCGAGGGCATCGGCGCCTTCGGGGCCCCTGCACGCGCACACGAGGGTGCGTCCTGTGTGGGGGATTGTGTGCGGGGCAGCGCGATTGCTCGAGGGATGGAGGTGCACGGGGGGGGGCTGGGCGAGCGGGAGAGGCTGCACTGGCACGTGTGGGGGTGTTTGCACGAGGGCAGGGCACTGGGCTTGCACGGGGGCTGGGCACACTTGCACGTGGGAGTGCCCCGTTTGCACGGGTCTGCGTGTGCTCACAGGGGCTGTGTGTGCTCACACAAGGGCTCAGCACGCGCCCTTCCGCTCCTACCTGCACGTGCCCCTCGCACGAGGCCAGGACGCACCTGGGGATGGAGCTGGGATGCTGCCTGGCACAAGCACAGGGGCTGCCACGCTCACCAGGGGGGTGCTGCCCTTCGCGAGGGGACGTGCACGGAAGTTGGGGGCAGCGCTGGCCCTTTGCACAAGCAGGTGTGCACACCTGCTCGTGGGGGGTGTGTGTGCTCACACGGGGTGCACAGCTGCTCACAAGGGGGTGTGTGCTCGTGGTGTGTCCACACCTCCTGAGAGGGTTGTGTGTGCCCTTGGCATGAGTGTGCGAAATCACATGTGCCTGTGCTTGTGCGAGCATTTGCACGCTGGCAAGCACACGTGTGTCCTGTGTGTGAAGGGGCACAGGGGGTGCACATGGGCTCTGGTGGGTGTCTGGATGTCAGGGCACCCTGGGGCCAGGAGATGGTGAGGTGACAGTGACGGCGTGACAGAGTGCTGGGGTGCCAGGGTGCCCTGGTAATGGGGTGGTGGGGTGATGGCATGACGGGGTGACAATGGTGCTGAGGGGCCAAGGCGCCTTAGTGATGGGGTGACAGGGTCCTGGGGTGCCAGGGTGCCCTGGGACCATGGTGACGATGTGATGAGGCAATGGGGTACCCCAGTGCCCTGGCACCAGAGTGACAGGGTGACAGGATGCTGGGGTGCCAGGGTGCTCTTCTGGGGTGCCATGGTGACATGTCAGTGAGGAGATGGGGTGCTGAGGTGCTGGGGTGCCCTAGTGTTAGGGTGCCAGGTTCACAGGATGATGGAGTGATGCGGTGACAGGTGCCCTGGCGACAGGGTGACAGTGTGCTGTAGCGATGGGGTGACAGTGGGGTGATGTCGAAGTAACGCTGGGGTGCCCAGGTGCCCGGGGTGACGAGGTGTGTGCCTGCAGGCGAGGCGTCGGTGCAGGAGCTGACGGCGCAGGTGCTGAGCCCGTCGGGGCAGCGGCGCGAGGCCGAGGTGGTGCCGGGGGCCGCGGGGGTCTACAGCGTGCGCTTCGTGCCCCAGGAGACGGGCGCCCACACCGTCAGCGTCAAGTTCCGGGGGCAGCACGTTCCCGGGAGCCCCTTCCAGTTCACCGTGGGGCCCTTGGGAGAGGGTGGTGCCCACAAGGTGCGCGCGGGGGGCACCGGCCTTCAGCGCGCCGTGGCCGGCACGCCAGGTACGGGGGGTCTGCCAGGAACGGG